GAGTAGGGAAAAGGAAGGAGACCCCATAAAATGGCTGACAGAAGAACATGGCAATGTGAAACATAAGTGGGAGGAAAAACGTTCAGTTACCTTATGAACACATTCCAGGGAAGAAGGTGTCTCAAATGAAGACTCGATCGCTGCCAAGTGCTCTGCCCAGAGTGACATCCGGAATCCATACACCTGCATGACCCAATCATTGGATCACCAAGAATGCGACGTTAGCAAAGCCGGGCATCAACTCGCACACACAAGGCAACAGGTAGCTCCCAGCCCCTTCCTCCAACTGTATCTGATCCTAGATTCCATGCATATAGATGTACATTACCCACCATTCACCTGCTCGCATGTCACATCGTTCTTCCTTCCACGAAAATAGAGCGTGCACGCACTGAGGAGTCTATTTATGCATATGCTCAGAAAATAATTATGGCAAAGAGGAATCCATGGTATGAACTCTTCTACTTTTTTTTTTTTTTTTCTCGATTTATGCGTGTGCGAGGATCAGGGCCCTCGTTCGGCCTGAGGGGCCCTGTTGCAAAGGTGCCCGCCCTAAGTGAAGGCGGGCCTAACATATCGCAGGAGGCCCTCAACTGTCAATTTCATATTTGGGGTCCAGGCAGTTGCGACGCGCCAGTTGGTTGAGAGAAAACGCAGGCCGAGCAACAAAGACGTTTCCAGGGCCTACCGGGCCTTTCCAAAGAAGCAGGCCTTGGGCGTGAATCGCAGCCTCATACACTGACAGTTGGGAGGCCCAACCGAACGAGGCCCAGTAGCTGCAGCGCAAAGGCAGCATCCTGGGGCCTTCCGGAAGCTTCTGGGCCCAGGCCAGTACAGCCAGGCTGCACGAGCAGGCCAGCCCTTTCCATAAAGGAAAGAGCTCTCCCCAGGCAGCCTCATTCAGGCACTCGCATGCTGGCAGCAGCGCTGCTGGAGCAATTGCTCGTGGGCTGCTGCTAGCGCTGAGAGGCGAGGTGCAGCACGTGCGGTCGTGCAGGGAAGCAAGGCGCTGCTGAGGGCAGCGCCATAGCCCAGCCATCATAGCTGGTGGGCTTGGACTACAGTGAGGCGAATGAGTGGTCTTCGGGTGTAAGGGAGGAAGACGTGGGTGTAAAGTCAAGGAAGGGCGAAGGATGATGATGATGATGATGTGAGGGCACATACCTTGTATTGGCGATGGTCTGCATTTGGGCGACATCTTCAAGTACTTCGGGTTGCCGCTGATGTCAACAGTTGCATTGTCCTTTAGTAGGCTGATCGTAGCTGTGTAGGAGTAGGCTGGGCGCTGAGTGCCAAGTAGGAGTGTGAAGGGACTGGACTCTTGTGTTGTTGGCGGAGAGAGAAAGCTCTCCTTGACATTGGTTTTCAGTACTACAAACCTCCATTGGTGTATTATTGGTGCAATGCTGCTCTCTGGACACAGTGTGACTATCTGGCTTTCAATGTGATAGTGTAATCTGGATTTGTCATCTCGCTGTTGCTTATTTTCCTTGCAATTTGGTATCAGAGCTGGTTCATATTGCGCTTCATTGGTTCTTCACAATAGCTGTTCGGTGCTTCGCATGAGGTGTGGGGCAGTGATAAGGCTTGGGCGTTGAACGTAAGGCGGCCCAGGGTCGTGTGGGCGCGCCAGGGAGCTATGTGGTGACATACGAGGTGTATGCTGGATGATAAGAGCTCGCTGATGTGGCATATTAAGCCGAGGTGGAACTGCATTCTGTTGTTGGTTGTGCCGAGGCAAAGACCGGTCATTATAAATGCACATCAGGTTGCCGGTGAGAAATCTGTGGTTGGGGGCAGCATTATGAGGTACATTGCTTCCTTCCTTATCTACCCTCTTCATTGCTTCTTCCCGTGAGGAAGTGAGTTCTGTCTTGAGAGTCCTCTCGATGTGAGGTGTCGCGAGCGCTCAACCTTGAGAGTCGACATTCTCCCTGGGCAGCAAGCTGGTGGGAGACGGGCGAAGCCTCTGAAGGGCCCTGAACGAAGCACTCGGGTCACGGTCACCATGCCAACCCGCTGGGACTAGTACATGCATGCTTTGCCGCAAGTCCTTGGTTCTGCTGCTTGCGCAATAGAGGTCATGCAGGGCATGCCAGCCCTTTGAACAGACGCTTACCAGACCGTCTCTAAATATTTCTGGCGGGGACTCGGTGTTGACTCTGGCTGTGATCGTCGTCCTGTCTGCGCATTAAATAATTCCTGAGGAATTCGGGGGATCTCCTTGAATGCCTCCTGATCAGCCAGATCAAACCGGGTGTAAGGCTCGTTGCATATGAGGGTAAATAATGTGCAGGGGCTGGCAGGTTCGGCGTTGACTTGGGGCACAGTGGTGGGCCGGATTGCACACCTTCAGACACGCTGCTCAACCAGATGCTCAAGACGTTGACACAAAGCGACCACTCAAGAAGGACACAGGGGGAGGGGTGATTCCGGTAACAGTTCACAGTGGCAATCAATAGACAATCTGCCATTCAGCATCCTGAAACGGTTTTCACCTTTTGCAGTAGCAGATGCAGATCCCAGGGCTCGATCCCTAGTCCTTACCCCCACCGTGTACAGTACCTGTGTAGACCACGAGAGTTGAACCTGTGACCTGTGTATTCGTAAACAGTTGGTAGGCTGTCATAGGTCCGTAGGTAGCACGGGTTCGACCTGTAGAAGTCTTAGCGAGTTCCAGAAGTCTAGCTGTAGTCCTTCTAGAAGGTCAGCAAGTGGGCAAGTGGGCAAGTGGTGAGTCAAGTGGTGGACTAAACTGCAGTGCAATTGCAGTACGACTCCGGTAGGTTAGTAGTGAGTCCCCATTCAGTCAGCGGTAAGATCCAGTCGCGTGTGGGATATTCAGTCCCCATAGCGATAGGGTAGTTGCAGCCATAGCCGCCATAGCTAGAGCTAGTGTGTAGTGTGTGGGTGTATGTGTGAGTGCAGAGTGTCGCGTGTGGGATATCCAGGGTGATCCGATGCATGTGAACAGAGAGTTGTTTGGGCGCTGAGTCGCCATAGCCATCGAAAGTGAACTCGTGTCTGGATTGTCATATCTCTGAGTTTTGAGTGGCCGCATGTCGCCAGTTGCTGCGTTACTGTTTACATGCATGTAAAGTGTGAATGAAAGCGAGTCTGATTGCATTGGTCTCAGAGCTGGTACCCGCTATTCCACGCGTCGCGTTGTGTGTCGCAGGAGTGATGCGCCATAGCAGAGGTGGCCGCCGAGAGTTATAATCCGCCATAGCGGACCTGAAGGTTCGAGAAGCCGCCGCGCACCTGCAAGAGAAGACCACGACGAAGAAGAAGATAGATAGAGAGAGAGAGAGAGAGAGAGAGAGAGAGAGAGAGAGAGAGAGGAGAGCGAAGGTTGAGCGATACAAGATTGGGTTACTACGTACCTGCTGCGC